AAAATTACGAACTGCAAATAATATACCACGATTTCTCTTAACTTGCAAAGTTCATTTCAAAGTACCAGAATCCTGCCTAGTTACTTCTTTGATTTATACTTAGAAAATATGTCTACTGATTATTCGATCATAATGTGAATTATACAGAAACAAATTAATATATAAATTAAGTACTTTATAATAAATAGTTACAATTAATTTCCACTTCCACCACTTTTTGATTTGAGATAGCAAATGGAGAAACCTTTCCTTTAGGGGGTCGCCTTTAATAATTTTCAGGTTTGAGACTAAGGAATACAAAGAAACTTTTCCTATTTTCCGCTCACTGCTATCCCTAAACTGGGGTAGGTCATGAAGTTATTATTTCATAGTCGAATGCTGGAATTTTAACTTTTGCAAACACTTGAATTTAGCTGTTTCAGGTGCTTCCAAGGGCCTCCTATCTGCTTCATACAGAGAATTGCGTTACTGCACCATATAGGTAGGAGGCCCTTAAAAACTTAAAAGAAAATGAATTCTATTATCTACATATACTTAAAGATTCTAAAGTTAAAAGTAAATTGGAGTCAAATCAAGGCTATTCCTCAACTATATTAATATTAACAATCAAATAAAAGGGGTTTAACACAAAATGAAAACTTATCAAAATTAAAATAAGAATTCATAGTAGTACAAATTCTAAAAATAAAAATGAAAAGGGGAAAAAAATACAAGATAAAAATATAAAAATAATAATTAATCTTCTTTTATTGAAATTCTAATTCCGAACTCATCAAGGGCAAATGAATTAAAAGCTTCTATATATATGTAATGGAATCCATCTTTTAAGTTTAAACATGTAAATGTAGTTCAGCAGGACATTTAAGGGCCCCCTAAGCCTTCGAGCCCCTATGCGACAGCATTCCTTGCATACCCTTATTTACGCCACTGATTTCATGCAGTGACATTTTAGATTGCTGTTATTTCAGAAACATATTTTTGCGATCAGGGCAGTTAAAAGTTTTTTTAAATTATACTGGATTTTGAAGGAAAAATATCTGAAATCGAATTACCATTGACGACTTCATAAAGTGCATGATATGAACTGGAATTATATATTTCAGCAGTAGAAATATGCTCTGTATTGGGATTTGGGAACAGCTTTAGTATTGGTCCTTTTGGCGATTTTTTGATTTGGCGACAAACTTCGGTCGTCAATGTATGATGGCTTTGAAGATCAGAAAAAAATGGCAGATTGTCAACAAAACCCGATCTATACTAAATAACAATCCTAAAAATTAAGCTCTTGATCAGAATAAACAGTCTTTCTCTAATTTTCAACATTTCTAGTACTGCTATGATAAATTCTTGAAACACTACCGTACATGAATTTATGGCAGTGATTATGTTATGAGTAATGAAATTTACAAAAGGTTAATATTTTAAATTACAAAATATAATATTAATGTACAAACATTAATACTTTAAGTAGTTAATATTTATATTATATTAGTACTTAGCTAATATTTTAAATTTACAAAAGGTTAATTTTTATGTTATGAATAATGAAATTTACAAGAGGTTCATAAATGCATTTCAAACTAGTAGTATATGTTACTTTAATTTCTTAGATTCTGTTATTAAAAGAAAATTAAAAAAAAATATTTCAAAGTAAAGGAAATCAAATTAAATTATAATGAGCAATTTTGTAGCAACGTTAGAAATACTTTTTATGATTAAATTTTGTAAATGGTAAAAATATTAAGAAGTGTGTATTTTTTAATCCCTAAATTTATTACAAGTAATTTATGTTTATAATTTAAAAGCTAAAATTAAATTATCATAATGAGTAAATTTTGTACCAACGGTAATAATACAACAATCATCATAAATGATGATTTCTGTGAAAAATTCGAACAGTCATTGGAATCCACTAGTGTTGGAGTGATAAGCCACTGAACAGTGGTAGTTCAGGCTGGCTATATGGGAGTTTTGTGGTTTTTTGTACATGTAATGTGAATCTGAGCCAGTTTCTCTTAAAAAGTACTTTATGAAGGCATCCTTCTTCTGCTAGCCAGCATATATATTTACACTCATGTCCATAAATTAAGGATAATTCGGAGTCACGCGGAAATCGAACTCTAAAATAAATATATCACCTGTAAAATCACTACACACATCTTCAAGAATCATATGCAAATTTCAGGAAGTAACCAGATGACGCCGATGGTACGACACAATGACGAGAGTGTGAGAGAGTGATATATAAGGAATACAGGCAAAGAAGTAAAATTGTTCGCAGGCGCTTTATAAGCATTTCAGTGCAATAACCGAATAGTTATGACCCAAAGGACGCATTTCGATGATTTTTTACGTGGTAGAATTATCGGCTGGCAGTTACTGCCAAAAGAAACTGGCGGAGCACAGCCTCAGACCTGTCTCGTCAGCTCTCTTCAGCCACTGGTACCACAATTTCAAGGCAGATTGGTCTATATGCTCGTAGACCTGTCAGTTGTGTTCCACTTACTGCAACTCACTGTCGCCTGCGGTTAGCCTGGAGTAGAGAGCATGCATTGTGGACACCGCAACAGAAGGGCTTGTGTGATTATTTCTGACGAGTCCAGGTTTAGCTTGCAGTCGGATTCTCACCGGACTTTCATATGGAAAGCTCCAGGTACCCGTTACCACAAAGAAAACATCATTGAACGACACCGTTACGGTGGTGCAGGAGTGCTTGTTTGGGGTGGAATTATTCTGGGTTCCAGAACTGACCTGCATGTTCAAATTGGAACCATGACAAGCCAAATATATCGGGACATCATCCTGGAACAACACATACGTGTTGTTTTGGGCACCGTGGGCGCACAATTTGTGTTTATCGATGACAACGCCCGTCCTCACCCTGCAAACATCGTAAGCGACTGCCTTCAATCGGAGGATATCACCCGTATGGACTGGCCAGCATTCTCACCGGACTTGAATCCAGTAGAGCACGTGTAGGACATGCTTGGCCGACGATTTGCAGCCCGTCAACCTCCTCCTACATGTCTACCGGAACTTCGGAGAGCATTGCTTTTTGAGTGGTGTAATATCCCACAAGATCATATCGATAATTTGATACTCAGCTTGCCTAGGCGTTGTACGGACTGTATTGCATGGTCTGGGAGGCATACAATGTATTAACAATCATACCAACCATGTAATATTGTTTTTTTGTAAATAGGTTTTTTTTTTTTTTTTTTTTTTTTGTAATTTGCCCCAGGGAGAAAAAATCACTATTTTTTTTTAATAATATCAAACATATAGCATCTTTTTTTGCTCTTTACCTTTTGTTTAATAAATAAGCTTTACAAATAAGTCAAATTTGTTTTGCTTCTAACTCTTTCTTTGCTTGATTTTGCATTATCCTTAATTTATGGACATGAGTGTATTTTCTATTCATAATTCTCTCTTATTTTCTTATTTCTTAATTCTAAATCTTCTTAAGTGAAGAAGTGTTGCATCTATAGGTCAAAAAATATGGTTGATTTATTTGAATTTAAATTTTACATTTGAACTTAATTGTTATCATAAGTTATCTTGCCACAAGTGGTTGACTGAGTTGTAAGCACAAAGTGTGCCTTGTGTTCTGTACATCTAAACTTTATAAGAGAATAAAAGTATATCTTAACTTAACAAGAATATATCTAAGCTTTATAATAATAACATTTAAAGACATTGAAATCAGTATCTAAGTGCTTGCCATGTAGTCAAATTTTTATATATAAATTTACATTGTACTCTTACTTTTATTATAGAGTTTTTATTACAAAAAATTCAGATTTCTGTTAGATAAAATGTTTAAGTAATGTAGAAAATTGGCATAAAATTTAAAATAAAGAGTCGACTGTTATGTCAACATACTATTAATAAAAAGTAATAATACTCAGTGAAGGTTATTCATATACAGCTATTAGGTTGTAAGATTTACAAAATTTGAGAACTGTATATTATAAGCAATATATTCCATAATCTAAGCAACATTATATTTTTTATAGTCAGTCAAATTATAAAAATGTTATAAAAGCAATAATTTTGGTCCTAGTTTGAACCTATGAATTCATGCAATTACACATCCCTATAGTTCTAATATGTGGCAAAAACATATTTTTAAACCACAGTAATTTTGATCTCCTTAGCAAAGGAAACACAAAGAGTTTACCTCATGCTACTGAAAATGTGTTATTTTTTCTTGGGGGGTGGAGTTTATAATAATATGCAAAGTTGACATATGAAAAAAATGTCAAGACTCATGTGATGTAATATTAAAAGCATCAGTTTTAACTATCAAATTTTAGCTTTTTTAAAAGATATTTTAAATGTTGTGCTTTCCTAACACAAACGTAACTTTAAGAAAAACATGCAATTTATCCCTCCTGCCATCAAAGCTGTGATACCTACCAAATTCGTTAAAGTCACGTGAACAGAAATGGTGGCATGTTTCTCAGCTCAGTATTTACAGTTACCAAGGTTATCATAATTTTACATTTATCGCTCCAAAATGTCGCCAAACAAATTTCTCGCTAAGATGGACTAATGCTAAAGCTGTGCCGGAATTTGTTATGTTTTCCAAATGATGCTATAAATTGTTGGCATTTGAAAAACACTTTTTTGCGAATAGAACAGTTGAAAGATTTTGAAATTACAGTTTTCTGAAACATGTTACCACTCGTAATCAAAGCGGAACTGTGAATTTCAGATTCATTGTCTTAATGATCATGAGTATCATCATCCAGCTCATTTAAATTGGCGTTATATATTCTGAAGCAATCGCTCAGAATACTCCCAACTATTTGGCCTTATTGAAAGATTCTTCACTCACACAGCAAGCTCAAAACGCACGAAGTTGCAAATTGTAGACAAATATTAGAGATATCTAGGTATCTGAAAACGTCATATGATGCGCAAACTGAGGTGCGCATAAGTCGGGAGGATCAGATCATTATCCAAAATGTTGCCTACTCTCCAAGTGTAAACGAGCGTTAAGTGTGTCCTCCCGAATTTAATGGAAGCGGTATACTTATATGAATTACCTTAATGATAGGAAAAAATATGTTTCTAGGTTTGGGAAGTGCTATTTACATTTTTTATATCCGGTTTCATAGGCATTTAAGCACAGAAGTGAATTTGCTCAAAAAGTTTACCTGCTGCATCACTGTAACCGTTAACGTTAAAACGTAACTGTTCGTTGGTGGCAAATTCGAAGGAGTTTGTCAACGTTTCTTTGTGTAGATGCTCATTGAATATTTTATTCTGAAGTGCAGTGAATCCAGTCTCTTTTTTGCCAGATGTATTTTAAATGATTTAATCTTTTTTATTTAGTCGTCATGAGTACTAGACAAAAGTACGAGGAACTTAAGCCTATTATAATCGATTCCAAATCGAACACAACATATCGCCGTGGAAATTTTTTGGGCAAGGGAGGCTTTGCAAGATGTTATGAATTTAAAAATACCAAAACAGGTGAAGTATTTGCTGGCAAAGTTGTGTCGAAAAGTATGTTGGTGAAGCCTCATCACAGAGATAAAATGTGTCAAGAAATTGCAATACACAAATCTCTATCTCATATGTATATTGTGGCTCTGCACAGTTATTTCGAAGACGAAAGTAACATGTATATCGTTTTGGAACTCTGCCGAAAACGCTCATTGATGGAAATGTGTAAGAGGAGGAAAACTCTAACAATACCAGAAGTTCGTTATTTTATGCGGCAAATAGTGTTAGCTTGTCAATATATGCACGATAATAAAGTGATTCACAGAGATTTAAAACTCGGTAATCTGTTTATTAATGATAACATGGAAATAAAGGTTGGAGATTTTGGTCTTGCAACTCGCATCGCCTTTGATGGTGAGAGAAAATTAACAGTTTGTGGAACACCAAACTATATTGCTCCTGAAATCCTTATGAAGAAAGGACATAGTTTTGAAGTTGATGTATGGTCACTTGGTTGCATTATGTATACTTTGCTTATAGGTTCGCCTCCATTTGAAACAAAAGCACTGAAAAATACATATGCAAAAATTAAGAAATGTGAGTATTATCTTCCATCTAGACTAGATCACAGTGCAAAACAGCTTATCCAAAAATTATTACATTTAGATCCTCAGCATCGGCCAAATGTAAATGAAATTTTGATGGATGACTTTCTCACATCAGGTTATATTCCATCTAGGTTGCCTGCTTCTTGCCTCACAATGCAACCTAGGGCAGCGAATAATATATCCATGTGTGAGAAATCTTCAGTTTTTGATCGAAAGCCTTTGACGGAAACTGGGAATAAACCGGTATCCATTCCCGAGCTTACTGCAGCTATACGCAATATGAAAATTAACCCATCTGATGAGATGCCAGTAGCAAAACCTAATTTTGATGATTTGTGTATGCCTGAAACAACAATGCCCAAAGATTTTCACCTAAGTGATTTGTATAAAATGCTTGAATCTGTAGTGAAATGTAACCCTGAACTGATTTATACTGGTCAGTCTGAAGATGCTCAAGACCCATCTGCTGTACCTTTTATATGGATAAGCAAATGGGTGGATTATACTGATAAATATGGACTCGGTTACCAGCTCAGTGACAATAGCATAGGTGTACTTTTTAATGATCTTACTCATCTTATACTTTTAGGTAATTGTGAAAATTTGCAATATATTGACAGAAATGATGAAGAACAATTTTTCACCATAACAAAATATCCTGAAGATATGAATAAAAAGGTTACACTTTTGAAGTATTTCAATGGCTATATGACTGAAAATTTAGTGAAAGCTGGTGAAAATGCGAAACTGCAAGATGACGATATGGCTAATGTACCCCATCTTCGAGCTTGGTTTAGAACAAAGTCTGCCATAGTTTTTCATCTGACAAATGGCACTTTTCAAGCGAATTTCTTCAGAGATCACACAAAAATAATTTTGTGTCCACTCATGGGTGCAGTGTCTTTCATTGATGAGCACAAAAATTTTACTGTTTATACTTTCAAACTCATTGCTAAATATGGCTGCTCTCAACTGTTAGCTTCACGTTTACGCTATGCGAAAAATATGGTAGAAAAGTTATATAAGGATTATGAATATCCTGAAACTGTACCAAAGAAAACAGCTCCATAATATAACTTGTTAGAACTTTTACATATTTTGATTAAAAATTTTTTATCTTTCATAGCAAGGTGTTAAACATCATTTTGAAAATTATTCTTTTTATGAAGTATATAATTTTTTAGCATTTATAACTATTGTAAATGCTTTATTTTGTCTCAAAATATTGATTTTTTTAAGTAAAAAGTGTTTTTAAGACTTTTGTCAGCTAGAACTTATTTTTCTACATCTTTGCATCATGATTTTATAAATGTAGTTTTAATTTTATCGTTCTTGATTGAAATACTATAATTTGGCTTGATGCTATATTTGATTCATGATTTGAAATAGTAAATTTTAATTAATGTTAATAAATAAGTATAAGATTTTATATACTTTTATTAATTGACAGTTAAGACTTATTTTATTTACTCACATTACACTTGCATATATTTATTTTATTGTGAGATTTTGTAGAAAAACCTGATGCAGGTATTCTTAAATGGGAAGCACTTCCGGAGAGAACCCGGTGAATATAAACATTGCCAAATTTGGCGATAATAGTTAAAATCTGGTAACCCAGCGGATTCAACTTATTCGCTTGTTGCAACCATTCATCTTGCGTCCATTTTGTTTTGTTATCACTGTGGTTCTTCGCATTTGCAGATTTCTATTATTCTTCTTTTATTTATTACTTTTTTTTCTTAATTTTTTAACAACGAATAGATAGAAATATTTTCGTAGATAGATCCCGGTTCTGGATGAAAGGAAGAAAATAAAGCGGGAGGGGTGAATGCTAATTTGTAACACGGCTGTTCACGTTGTGTTCTTAATTATTAACAGCTGTACGCACGCAGAACCATGAGGTTTCGAAACGCTCAAATAATTCGTTTTCGTACTCCGCAAAAATGTGCATTTTAAATAATTAAGTAATGCTTTTATTTTTATTATTGCTTACTGTCAATTTCAGTACATTAATACTAATTTATATTTTTAAAATGAATTTTTATTTCCGTTATAATTGCTTATATATTGTCTTGTGCTTAATATATTAATTTCTGTTAATAATTTAATATTTATTTCGTGTTAATAATTTAATAATTAATTTCTGTTTAAATTTAATACCAATTTATTTCCGTATATCACGTTTAACCTGTTAGTTTTACATCTACATGCTTATTATCTGTGAATTTTTACTACCACATACTTAATATATTGTTTAGTCTGCTAACTAGAATTTACATGCACTAAAAATCACGTTTACAAAGTATCACGTTTACGGATCGTCGAAGAAGCGCGAGCTTGGCGAGTAAAAATGGAACGGCGCCAACGGGTTCTCTGCGGATGAAAACCCCTTAAATGATTAATTTTTTAATGGCTTTACTTTTTTGGTAGAAATATTGCATGTCTATAAAATCAGTTTAGCTAATCTTTGGAATATGGTAACAGGTAGTTTGGCGACATTTTGGTAAGGCGATAAAGATTACTAGCTAGGACTTTAGCAATAATCTGAGAAGTACACAGTTTGAATCACAGACTATTTTGTCTCAGAGAAATGAGAGATCACGAGACGTGACATTTTCCGGAAAATTCCATTCCGGATTTTAGCTAATAAGCACTTAGAAACAATTTCGCTGCTAAGTGCAGAATCGTCCACTTATTTGTTTGGCGCTTTTTAGAAGAGTAAGAATTGGACTTTTTGTAAATTTTCTTTGACTTTTTAAGTGAAAATAGGTCGATGTGTACATGGATAAAGTCAAGAGTGTGCGCAATGCCATTTTTGTGCAATTCTGGGATGATATTTGTAAAGTGAAAACTATGGTCGACGTGCACATGGATACCGCATATGTGCAATTCTTAAAAACATGCGCAAACAGTGGGCGATTCTGCACTTTCTCCCGATTTCGTACCTAATCTTCGTCATGATTAAGCCCTTTTGTTCCATAAAAGGTTCTAGCATAAGCGTTAATTCGGCTAGCAGATTGTTGGAAAACATATTGAGTTAAAAAAAAAAAAATGCCTTTACTTCGTGAAAACAAAATGGCATCCAAAAAAAAACTAGCAGGTTGCTGTAGTAGGGTTGGTCGCCAAAAAATCTCCAAGTTATCATAATCCGAAGATTCACCATAAGGGCTATTGTAATTTTTAGATTTAAAGCTGTGATTTTAATCATTAGTATCTCAAATAATAGTTTTGAGAATATCAAGCAAAACACTCAAAAATGAAAAAAGACATAATAGAAATATTAGTATTCTATATGAATTATAAAAATTACATGTAATGAATAAATACCATGACTAAACACTTCAAAAAAAAAGAACAGATTAAGTATTCCCTATAGCAGTTAAGATGGCTGAACGCTGGTAGTTCAAGCTTGGCTGAAATCCTGATGAATGAACTAAGCATGCTTTTTTCAGCTAGCCCTCACATGCTTTGCATATTGAATTAAATACATATGCAAACCCTTTTTATTCTTAAAATGATAAATTAATTAATTTCACATTACTTGCAACAAAGCTTTTTAAAAGCTAGGATACTTTCGTTAACAATTACAATGCTAATTGGGGCTGTACTTCTCAGTTATATGTGAATAAACATCTCAGTGTCGCTGCTTGTGACATAACATTTGGTGATGTTTCAGGTAAGTCTTCTTATATTAGTCATAAGCATGAAATAAACAAAACAGATGGCATGATCCATACATCCTTAGTGACTGATATTTGACAGTTTTTATGTTGCATCTGTAAACTACCCTGTCAGATTTGACCAAGTGAAATTGTGACTTAATTTGAGAAGACTTGTTTAATAAAATTATGGTGTAAAAATTTAAAAGTGGAATTAAAATAAGAAAATAAACTGAACAATAAAATGAAAAAATAAATGTTGTCCGTAAATATATTAATAATAATTAATGATAAAATTGACATTTAAAATATTCATGTAATATATATATGCAATTGATTTAATTCATATTAATGTATGTGTTTAAAATGATCTAACTTTGAACATATTCGCAACTTTTATGTTATTACATATGGTCTTTATTTAAATAAAATTTTTAGCAGCATACATCAGTTGGGTATGGTTTGTTTAACTTATGGTACAGCATGGGAGAGATATCTGCGTAAGAAAAAGGCTGCCTTCAAGGTCTTTCTGAGGGTAACTGATTTGAATCCATGTTACATATTGAGAATACCATGAAAACAATCATGCAACTAGCCCATCTGCTTGGCTTACCAGACTTCAGTCGCTTTACTGTTTGGCTGCTGATGAGCTGCATATCAGTTGTAAAAGTCAGAGCGGAATACAATTTTTTACTAAAAAAAACTTTGGTTGATCTTTACATTATGGTAACTTGGCGTTTTTTTGGCGACCAACTCTCCTACAGCAACCCTCTATTTTTTTTTCCCGCCGCCATTTTGTCTTCACGAAGTAAAGACATGTTTCTTTTCTTTTTATCTACTGAACACTTCTTCCAACAATCTACTAGCCGAATTACACTTATGCTAGAATTTTATCTAACAAAAACTGCTTAATCATGACAAATATTCACTGCAAAATTGGGAAAAAGTGCACAATACCATACTCCTTACGCGTTTTTCAAAATAACACATACACATAACCCTGTACACGCCGACTTATTTTTACTTAAAAACATCCCAGAATTGCCACAAAAATGGCATTGCGCACACTCTTCACTATATCCATGTACACTGCTTTTTTTCTCATAAATTAGAAAAATTTCACGAAAATACATGACAATTTTCTCATCTTTAACCCGGTAAAAAGAACTATATGAAATTACCTGATCGCGAAAACGTATTTACCCTTTCCAAATATGAACATTTCCACATATAAAATAAATAAATATCCAAAAACTTTTACCTCTAAAATCATGTATTACATTATACACGTCACTAACGAATTCATACCACAACCATTACAAATCTTAGTGTCAGATATTTAAATTATTTCATGCACGTTTACTTCAACTAAAACATATACCAATTCTACAAATAAAATTCACAAAATAACTATCATTTAATTAAAATATAATTAAATTCAAAACACACTTAAAAATAAATGAGCACACATAATTAATACATAATACCCATTTCGAATTCACTTTTAGTTACGGCCATGGGATCCAAAAATTCACGAACACTGTTTTCAGACAACACAGAATAAAGCCAAAATACAAAATTTCCAGATTTTTTCCCGATTTCCCCCCTTTCCAATTAAAGAACCGGTTCGTCCAGTAATATCACATACATATCCCATGATCTCTCATTTTCCCTCACAAAATAATGCGTAATCGAACGATATGCTCACATTATAGTCCCAGGTAGTAACCTTTATCGCCTCCAAAATGTCGCCAAACTACCAGTTACCATATTGTAAAGATCAACCAAAACTTTTATGTAATCAGCTAGTTGCAATTAAGTTTCTGTTTAAATGACAATATCTACTGATTTCATTAATGTGATGATAATTGATTTTCAATCATAGTTTTGGAAGAACTTTGAAATTATGCAATTGAAGATATTAACCCGCGAGCTCACGAAAGAAATGGTCCATTTGACCCACCCGATTAAAGAAATCTTTCTGAAAATTCCCCTATTTTTCCCAAGTGGTTGTGGTTCAGTGTAGTCTCCTTCAACGCAATCTTCTTTGTTTCCAAATTTTTTTGCCGAAAATTTGATTCGAAGTTTTGTTTTAATCAGATCGGGTCTTTCAGACTCAAGGCTCCTATTCGCATTGCTGTAAGGTAATTCATTTGTAGTAGCACAGGAAACTGCAATCATGTCGCCTAATTTATCCTATAAGGAAGAAATGTCACGTTTGCAAAAATTATTTGATGTATAAACTGTTGAAGACTCCATTGAAGAAACTAATGATGAAAGTTATAATGAATTTTTTAGTTCTTGTGATACTGATTCAGAAATCGAGATGCATTGTGAAAACGAAAATGAGAATGACATTTATTGCTTTATTGGAAAAGACAAAAAAAACCAATGGTAAAAACAAAGTCTAAAGCTACTGCAGTCAGAAGTCTTTAATCCGGACCTCAAAGCTACAGACTTTCTGCACATGCGTAAACGCATTAGCATAGCTTATGGTATCATTAAAATATTATTTGTTTATATGTTAAATGTAAAAATTTTGGGTAAAAATATATTTCAGGGTACCCTTGGCAATTTTTTGGTACCATTCCTGTTTACATCCAGTGCCCTTCCCAGTTAAAATGTCTTCTAAAACATAATTGAAACAAAAGTATGTAATCTAAATAAACTGCATTTTAAATCAAACAAGGAAATAACATAA